GCTGAGCCACCCAGGCGTCCCTGTCCATTATGTTTAATGTGATTATTGACATGGCAGTAATGTCTTTGATATTGTTTGTTTTCTCTTTGTCTCACCTGTTCTGTATTCCTTTTCGCTTTTTCCCTGCTTCTTTTGGGTTGATTGTATTTTAATATCCATTCTTTATCTTTTCTGTTGGCTTATGAGCTGTCCCTCGTCTTTGTTTTCATGCTTGTTCCAGGGTTTGCAATACACATCTTTAACTTAGGACAGTCTCCCTTCAAATGATATTATACCACTTTCCAAAAACTGTTAGAACTTTACAGTAGAATACCCACATTTTCTTCTCTCCTTTGTGCTGTTATCCCCACAATGCAGTGTTACCGGTTTTGCTTTAGGCGGTTACTATGTAAAGAAATCTTGAAACGGAGAAAAAAATATCTTATATTGATTTACTAGTTTACCGTTTCTGGGACACTTCATTCCTCCATTTTCATCTGGTAATGTTCTTCAGCCTGCAACTTCATTTACTGTTTCTTGAAGTGCAGGTTTGCTGATACCAATTTTTTTCAGCTTTTTTTTCTAAGTGGAAATGTCTTCATTTTACTTTTACATGATATGCTTGCTAGATAGCAAATTCTAGACTGACAGCACTTGAAAGATGTTCCGGTTCCTGGCTTACATTGTCCTAATGAGAGGTTAGTGGTCATTTTCATCTTTGTTCTCCTGTATTTAACGTGTCTGTTTCCTCCTCTAAGACTGCTTAAATGATTTTTCTTTCCCTTTGGCATTTTAGCAGTTTGATTTTGATGTACTTTTGAGATTTTTCTGGGAGTCCAGTTAGGTGTATGTTAGACTGTTTAATATTGTCCAATAGTCAATGAATCCTTTTTTTTTTCTTCTTCTTCTTGCAGTGTTTTTCTTTTTTGGCTTCATTTTGGATAGTTTTTATTGCCCTTCACAGTGGATATGCTGTGAACTTGTGCATTTTTCATTTTACAGATGGTGTTTTTCATGCTAGAGATTGTTTGGTTTTTGATTACCATTCCCATGTCTATTTATTATATTCATATTTTCCTTTAAATCTTTGGGCATATTTATAACTGTTCTCACATCCTCGTATACTGATTCTCTCATCTTACTTCTGGGTCTCCTTCTGCTCACTGACACTTCTAATGGGTCACATTTTCCCCCTCGGAATGTATGGTTAGATACTGGTTGGATGCCAAAGGGTGCTCCTGGCACTTGGCAGCACCTGGCTAGATTGGCAAATGCTGCCTGTTGACGATCTGGGTTTTGTTCTCATCTATCAGTGAAGGATGAGATTTGTCCTGGCACACGGTTCAGTCACCAGCAGATCATCGTGATCCTTTGAGGCTTTCCCCCTGGATGGCCTAGCCCGAGGGTGTGGCCTTTCCGGGGTCTCCACCGAATCCCCTGGGTGCTCAGTGACACTTTTCACACTGTCTGGTTTGGAACTTGTTGGTCTCCAGGCCCCTTGTAAGCTCAGGTTGTTTGCAGGCTTTCACCTTCGCCCTGGTGGGTATTTGCCCATCCTTCTGTGGTCGTGCCCCGCAGCTGTGCAGCTTGGGGTTGGAAGGCTCCAGTGGGGCCCCTGTGTGGATTTGCAGTGTGCTCTGTCTCCAGTGTTCTGGCCTGCAAACCAGCAGCCCTCTGCATCCCTGAACTCAGCTCAGTAAGATCACCTGCCCTGCTGCACTCCTTTACTCGCGTCAGGTGCAGAAAGTGCCTCCAGAGTCAAAGGGCTCATCCTGCCCGTTTGCCATCTCTCAGGAGCATGGTCCTGGCCTTCCTGTTGTCTGGTTACAGCTGCTTCGTGGATGGTCCAGTGTTCCCCTTGTTGACGGAGGGAGGCTGCTGTGTTGCACGTTGGTCCCTCTTGGTCAGAAGGGCAGGTTTTATGCCTGGGCTCTTTGTAGTTTTAGTCTTCTCTTGATTAGTATGTGAACTTTTCTCTTGGTGTTCACAGTCTTTGAGGAGTAGGTTAGATGAAACTATGAGGTCGCTGACTGTAGACCCACCTTCGTGCAGCTTCCAGAGTTCCCACTGTGCTGGGCCTGCTGTTGCCGGCAAGTGGGGAATGGGATGTGGAAGACAGAGCTCTTCTTGCCTGGAGTTTTGACTTCATTTTTTCGAATGACAAAAAACCAAGGCATCTGGGTGGTTCAGTTGGTTAAGTGTCCAACTCTTGGTTTTGGGCCCAGGTCATGATCTTGGGGTTGTGGGATCGAGCCCCTCTTAGGGCTCTGCCCTCAGTGGGGAGTCTGCTTGGGATTTTTTTCCCTCTGCCCCATGTGCATGCATGCTTTCTCAAATAGATCTTTTAAAAAAAAAAAAGGAATGAAAAAACTGATTATGTAAGTAATATTCATTATGAAAAGAATTAAAAAGGAAACTAAGTCCATTGTCCATTTTTCCAGAACTATTAATTTGTATTTTTGCATCTCTTGTCTAAACACGTAATTTGAGGGCACCTGGTGGCTCAGTCGGTTAGGTGTCTGCCTTCAGCTCAGGTCATGGTCCCAGGTCCTGAAATCAAGTCCTGTGCTGGGCTCCCTGCTCAGTGGGGAGTCTGCTCCGCACCCCCCATCCCTGGCTTGTGCTCACATGCACGTGTGCTCTCTCTCTCAAATAAATAAAATCTTAAAAAAAATACGTAATTCGTATTTTTGCATGTTGGTATTTCCTGTTGGAGTACTCGTCAGTACATGCAAATCCACTGTGTGTGTGCATTGTATGATAGCTAGACTTCTGTAACGTGGGACCTCAAGGCACCTTTGTGTTGTGTAGCATGAATGTACCACCTAACTTCACCAAACTCAGAAGTGTTAGACTGGGCCTCAGCAGATCACCGCATCTGCTTTAATGATTTGAAACGATCATGTCTTCCCTGCACACGGACTGGTGTTTTAGGGTGCTAGGAAACTGGCTCGTCTCTTCATAGGGTGGTCATCTGTGCTGAGAGAGCACATACAAAACGGATTAAAATGGGAGTGGAGAGGGCCGTGTCACCCTCAGTACGCCACCAGGACCCCCAGTTAGTGCAGGGCAGGACTGGCATTGGTGACAGAGCCCCAGTTCTGCAGTGTCCTTAGGTGCCAGGCGGGGCAAAGGGCTTGCGCTGTTGTAAGGGCTTTGCGGTGCTCTGCGGGTGTCCTGGGACAGAGCCTCCTGAGAACCACTGCCTGACCCACCCAGTGTGCGCTTTTTTAGGGGGGCCTTGTGAGGTCCCCACGGCCCCGGATCTAGTTCCCCCACCCTGCCACGCTGCCTCCGGCCACGGCCACCGCTTCTGAGCTCCTGGGCAAGAAGGCCCCTCTGGTGTGAAGGACGCACCTGTGTGTCGACTTCGTTCCCGGGTACCCATGGTTGGTGATCGCACGTAGACCGGCCCGGCCTCTGCTCTGTCACAGCCCGGGTTTGCAGGGTGCTTGCAGAGTCACTTCTGTGAAGTCTGTCCTCTCAGGCATGCGGTTTCCGGATCATCTCACCTCACGGTAAAACCAGCCAGATCACAGTTGTCCTTGAAATCATGCTGCCCACCAGGCTGTGTGTCATCGGATGAGATCTCAAGGGAGCAGGACTCTGTCACTGGGTGGCCAGTGGGGGGTGTGGCTCTGGTGGGTTCAGGCAGTTGTGGGTCGTTTGCATGTAGCCTGCAGCAAGCTCCCAGAGAGGCCAGGCATTCTGAAATGATGTGCGGCCTCGGGATCAGAGTGTCCCCAGGGTGAGAAGGGGCATAGGTTTTGGGGTTCTGGGCAGGGGCTTCCAGTATCACTCATACCACCTGTTAGTCTGCACTTAAGCTTATGTTTGGAGAAGAGGTCTACTCTTCCACAGCTCAAAGCCCTGGACCAGATTGTCCAGAAATTGCCTTTAGAATTCTCCGAATCGGTGTTTATTTGCATCTATACAGGTCGATTTACGTGGAGTAGCATTCACTCTTATTTTAGCTATCTGAAATACATGCCCTTACACGATATTTTCCCTTTTCTGGAAAATCAGAATGCTTTGACTTGCTTTGACACATGCTTTTTAATCACATGCTTGGACTTGATTTTTCCGCTCTTATGGGGGAACCCAGCGTGTGATTCCTGGGCAAATCATGTGCTTTCATGCTTGTGTTTCTGGGGTGCTGGGTGTTCTTGCCTCATTTTCATTGAGGTAGTAACCTTGGCCATGGGAAGTGACCTGAACCCTGGAGTTCCCGTCCTCACTCACCTCCCCACTCAGATGGGTGCGTTGGTATATGAGTTGTGCCCCGGGACCATTGTTCTCTGAGAACTTTGATACTCTGCTAAGCCCAGTCACACTTTTTTTTTTTTTTAAGATTTTATTTATTTGAGAGAGAGAACGAGCAGGAGTGGGAGAGGGAGAAGGAGGCTCCCCACTTAGCAGGGAGCCCGATGTGGGACTTGGTCCCTGGGCCCTGGGACCATGACCCGAGCGGAAGGCAGGTGCTTCACCAACTGAGCCACCCAGGCGCCCCAGCCCTGTCGTAGTTGAAATATGCCCACGTCGGTCTTCAGAGCCTGGTGCTGCACATGCCTGGTCGGCCTGGCTCTCCTGCTGCCCTGGCCTCTCCTGTGCCCACGGGTGTGGGACTGCCTGAGCCTCCGGGATGTGCGACCCCAAGGGTGCTGTTTTCCCCGCTTTCGCTTGCCTTTGCTGTTGTGCTTCAGGCTCTTAGAGATAAATATCAGTTTGTGTTAGATCTCTTGTGAACGTTTGACACAGTTGTGTCCATTTTAAGGGGATCTGGGGTTGTCTGAATCTGTTTTGCAACCTAGGAACACCTGGACGTGTGGTAGGTGTTTGACTTTGGAGGATTTGCTGAATGCAGGATTTCTGAGGAATCTTCCCCTCAGACGCAGGGGAAGGTGATCACTGAGTGTGGGTGCTGGCTACAGCCACCTTGTGTCATGCTCTGGTGGATCTTGGGGGCGCGGACTTGGCTGAGAGCTGCGTGGCGGCCCTGACCTGTCTCTTTCTTCTCACAGGCTGTGGTGGTGCCTCAGGGCGGAGGACAGCTGTGGATCTTTGGAGGGGAGTTTGCTTCTCCCGACGGAGAGCAGTTCTACCACTACAAGGATCTCTGGGTGCTGCACTTGGCCACCAAGACCTGGGAGCAAGTAAGGTAAGGTGCCGGGTAGTGAGCCTGACCTCTGGGCCTGGCTCCCGTCCTGTGCGCCATTCTGTGTTCACGCTGATGCAGTCCTAGCCCTTTGGGATCCTGGGGCTCCGTGGAGCACGATCGCAGAGCCCTGAGTGGCCAGGCTCGCTGGTGACTGCAGGCGGGGGAGAGCTCACCTTTTTCTCTAGACCCTTCTCGGAGAAGTCTGGCCTGGCGACAGCCACCTGACCACCTGACTTCGTTGAAGGCGTTTCCAGCCTCACTGGGAGCAGCATGTTATCCCTGCTAGTGTTCCGCCCCCCTCAGCACCTACGTGGAGCGTCTGGGGTGCCGTTACCCTCCCGGGCCATCTGTGGATCCCTTTGGAGGCAGTGCTGGGTTTCAGCTTGCTGGCAGTGGACCCGTGGTATTCACTACAAGGGAGTGCTCTTCTTAGGTCTAGTAGAAATAGCAGAGCTGGGAAGAGGAGAGGAAGGATGGGGAGAGCTTTCTTGTTGCTCTTCAGTAAACCAGGCTCAGCCGTCGCTGGTGCTTGATTTCTGCCCTTGTCTGTGACATTGATAATGGGTTTGTCACATCTGTACTGCACATTCACTGCCGGTCAGTGCTGCACATTGGAAGAATGACAGAGGGAAAGTAGGGTTAGTTGGCTTTAGTTTTCAGGGGTGCACATGCCCTGTGGCCAGGGCGGCGCACACCACGCTCCCTGGGTACTGTGTCTGCTGTCAAAGCCGCAGACCAGAGCTTCCTCCTGTGCTGGAGTAGGTGGCTGGATTGCAGAGTTCAGTCATGGTGCAGAACCCTTTTCGGGGCCTAGGACTTTGATGGGAAGAGAGCCTCACTCCCTGGAGGCTGTGCTTGTTCATTTCATGAGGAGCCATTGAGGAGGCCGCCGAGGCTAGGCTGTGCAGGCCTGGGGTGTCCGCACCATCGAGTCTGCTGTGTGTGCAGGAGTGTCTGTAGCCCCAGGCTCAGCGAAGCTGCTGGAGGAGTTAAGCCGTCTTACAGAAGTCGGAACCAGGGAGGCTTGGTGTGCACTACCAAGTACTGACTTCATTTCCCTTCCTCTTACTTGCTTTTTCTCTTGGCAGGCACAGCAATTCAATTATTTTCATATCAGAAATTGATTTTGTTATGTATATGTGGAAACTTGGTCATTTATCCTCAATTTAAAAAGTATTTAGGCCTAGAGCACACCATCTTTGTTCCTCTTTGCTTCAGTTCTTTTAAAAACCCAATTGTCATTTATTTATTGCTTGTCTGTCCATCTTTGGTGAATTGATTCAAGATATTTGCTTAACACAATTATCAGTTTGAGTAGCTTTTTGTCAGTAATTCGTGGGTGGGTGAAGGACCGTTCGGGCTCCATGGGAGAATACTGCCCTCTGACAGCGGCTCAGCGGGGCCTGTGCTCGTGGTGGCTGTGGGGACGTCCTCAGCTGCTTTGCCACGAGCACACTTTCTCGTGGCCCTCAGCCCTTCCCGGTTCCGTGGCATGTACTGTGGGTGTGTTACACGGAAGCGGGGGGGGGGAGGGGCACTAGAGACACATGTCCACTTGGGGATGTGCCCTTTGAAGGGCTTGCTGTGGCCACTGTCTCCCAGCCGGCTGGGGACAGCTGCTCTCGCCTCTGTGTGACCCAGGGCTGTCGGCCCCAGCACGCGTGCACGGGGTCCACGGCTTCCGTCCTGTGTTGGAAATTATCTCTGCGAAACAGGTCCCTCGCTGCTTGAATGCTTATTGTAATCATGATGTAAGTGTTTATGGAAAGTATGTCGTAGAGCCTGTTAGAAGCTAACAGGAAACCGCACGCTGCATCCCGTTGGCATTCTTAAGCCTCTGCTTTCGTCTGGACGGAGTGGCAGGGCTGGAAAAGGAGGAGGTGCTTTACTTTTGTTTGTGTCTGAGTTGTTCTTCCAGCCTTCTTTCTGGGTGAGGACCCCGGTTCTGGTGCGTGGGTGTCACGTGAGCTGTCCGTGGGGCCACGTGGCAGTATCCACTTATGACTAGAAGGTGCAGCCTGCAAGTCAGGAGATAGAGGGTTCTGTCCCCAGCTCTCCTTCTGATTTTGTTTGCCAGGAGATTATTTATTTATTTATTTATTTATTTTTAAAGATTATTTATTTATTTGACAGAGAGAGACACAGCGAGAGAGGGAACCCAAGCGGGGGGAGTGGGAGAGGGAGAAGCAGGCTTCCCGCCGAGCAGGGAGCCCGATGCGGGGCTTGATCCCAGGACCCTGAGATCATGACCTGAGCCGAAGGCAGACGCTTAATGACTGAGCCCCCCAGCCGCCCCTGCCAGGAGATTATAAATGAGCAGCTGGATTTCTATGTTTTGCTGCTTCACATATTTATCGTTATGAGATGTTTTCTGCCTTGAGCTTGCTGATGGGAGGCAAAAAGCCGTTAGGTGTTTGTTGTTCAGGAGACATTACCTGAGGACCGATGTCCACTTCTGTGTCTTTGATGTCTCCCACCCTGTATCATCTTGGGCGCTGAGCTCCAGCCTTCCTAAAGCGCTTGGTGCCCCGACTGTTCGCAGGCTGCAGCCCCTGCCCCTGCCCCGCCTGCCCCAGAGGTGGTCCTGAGACCACCGAGGGAAGTGCCACCCCTGCCGCCCCCTCTCCCACCATTCCAGCTTCCCACAGCCCTCCTCGTGGGGGGGAGGGGCGGGTCCGCAGAAAGGTTTCCCACTGCCCCAGAAGCCATGAGCGCTGACCCACGTGATGTGTTGGTTTTGTCTGGGAGATGGCACCACGAGGACCACAGAGAACAGGGACTGGTGGGGAGAAGGGAGCGTGAGCACGTGTTCCCGCAGAGACTGTAGAGGAGTGAGCCGCACGCAGCTTGGTGGAGACTGCACGGGGGGCGCTGTCAGGCCAGCCGCAGATGAAGGCAGGCACCGCTGGGGGGCCGTGAGGCGGGAGAGCAGGACGCCCCCCAGCCAGGATGTCAAGGCACCCATTGTCCCAGTGCAGCTTTACATGGGCCTCCGTCCCCGAGTGCGCTTTTAGGAACATATGCTAAAGAAACGCTCTCGTTTTATAGAAAGATAGATACCAAAAACCATGAAGCAGACCAATCCATGCCTGAGAAAAAAGCCCAAGAGTGTGTCCACATGCATGTGTGCTCGCCAGGTGGGTCAGGAACCGTACTTGCGCGGGGCGGGGTCTGCACCTGTTCTAGTACCGCCCCGTCTTCGTCCCTGCAGCCATCCGCTGTATTCTCAGACCTGGAGGGTTTTGCTCGTTTATTTAAAACATTGCTTTGCTGTGCATTCTTTTCACATGCATTCCAGAATTCGTTTTTGAAATGGTATTTTTAAAAGTTCCAATGGGATTTTGATTGGGTTTCTTTTTTTTTTCTTTTATTTTTTTCACCTTTTTTTTTTTTTTTGTTAGTCACCATACAGTACTTCATTCGCTTATAGATTGTACTTCGGGAGAGTTGACATCTTTCTGATCCTATCTTCCTCATCAGGAACATTGCACCTCTCTCCAGTTCGATTTATTTCTCACCTGTCGGTAAAATTTACAACCGTCTACGAGAATCGCCGAATCAAAGGGCACCTGTGTCTCGGCGCCTCTCCCCTCGTGTCTGTTCCCACAGACTCCAGCCGCACTCCCTCCTTGCTGGGAGGAGGCCTGTCGCCGGCGCTGTGCCGGCACTCTGGGTTCTAGTTTGGTGGTCTTTGCACACCTCCCTTCTCCGGGAAGCAGCTCCTAGACGGCGGGGCAGTGGCCCTGTGGAGTAAGTCATTTCCTGTCCTTACTTGCACTTTGGAAGTGTTCTCTAGAGAATGGTGTGGTGTTCTAGCAATAGTCGGTGGTGCCGTGGCTGGGAGACCTGTGGGGTTGTGGCCCAGAGCTGAGGTAACACCTCTGTTCGTGAATTCTTGGGCTTTATGCACCAAGTAGCACGTCTCTGCCCGCCTCACCCCAAACATTGAGTCTGGTTCAGGGCACGTTTCAAACGGGGCTCAGGAATCTGCCTTTTATTTAAGCCCTCCCTTCCCACTCAGTGATCCAGGCGGTCCTGGGCTGCAGCTGGAGGCCCTAGTTGCTCATCCATTGGCCTTGGTGACTAGTGGGTCTCGTGCTTATTTAGAGCCTTGTTCATTAATGTGAACATGGAACATGCCCGCTGCCCTTTCAGGAGTAAGAAGACTCGAGTAAAATTCCTTAGCCCCTTAACCAGGAAATAGAGCAGCTGGTGCTTCTGTAATGTACTGCTTGTCGCAAACTGGAGGGCCCTGGACTGTTGGCTGGCCTCCCGGCCGGGCTGCACACACTTACTTACCTCGGCTGCCGTGACTGCGGGTGTGTGCGGGAGGCATCCCGAGGGAAGCCTGCCTGCTGAGTCCTTGGGTAGGCTGAGGTGCTGCTCCTGGGAATGGCACTGGGTCGTTGCCGCCCTGGTGGACGGCTGCCGAGGAGAGGGGGCTGCTGCTGGCGATGTGGCTCCGTCATCTGGTCTTCTCGCCGCAAGAGAGGCGAGGAGATTCATTCAAAATGCACACGGAGTTTACTGTTTCTGGGGACGGCCTCTGAGTCCAGAAGAACCCACATCACCCGGAAGGTACAGGCAGAGCCCACGCTGAGCTTGAGTGTGTTTTGTGCCCAGGATTTAGCCCGGCGCTCTGCATTCATTTCTCGGTAAATGTTTCTCCCGGGAGGGGTAGTTTTACAGTTGAGGAGGCCTTCAGAGAAAGGTGGTATTGAATCGGCATCTGGAGTATATTTAGCCCCTTTCTGGGCTTTCAAACAGGTTTTTCTTGTGGGACGGCAGGGTGGATTCCGTCTTGCTCTAGCTGATGACTTCTGAGTTGTCCGATAGGGCAGGTGTGTCCCGCCCATCCTTGCGTGCATGGGCTGGTCTGAAGAAAGTGCCTTTTGGGGAAATGATTTCAGCTTGCCATTGAGAAGAGTCAGGGCCTGCATAGGGTAGTCAGGGAAGAGCTGCTATTCTGAGGTCTGAAGTCAGATCACTGAAAGGGGCGC